TGGGCCGATTATATTAATGGTCGGCTTTATCGAAACTGTGCGATTCGGACGATGGTATAGGTTAAATCCGGGTTAGCATGAAAACCGGGTATACCGAAATCAAAATCGTCAACAAGGGAAAACGAAATCCGAGACGAAATCACATTAGCCAGTGTTCCGTTTCTCTCAATGGCTGCACGTTGGTGACATCTTTAGGATTTCCATCGATGATACTTGCACTCAACTCACATTTGTGTTATAATTCTTGATAAGAATGATGTATATGTGGTTTATCGATGTTTCTAAGGCCGCGTTTAGACATGATTATGTAATAAACTTGTTGATTATAAGTATCCTACTTACGTGGAGTCGAATGTTTGTGGATTAGTATCGTTAGTATTTGTTCGTAGTCAATATTTGTGTACTGGGCCATTGTGAACACCTGCTTTATTTGGTAACGCTAAATGGAATTATGTCACCAGTTCTCTTCCACATATATACCTGTCATACATAGTTTTTTTTTTACAGAACATCTTAACATCTCATACATTAATTTTATATTAGATATGTACAAGAGATCTTATTTTACCACTGGGCCAAGTTTACATTCAGAGGTATTCCTTTTATTGAAACTATGAATAATTAATATTATCAAGCAATAATTGCTTAAATGTGCTGAAACATATGCATCGCATCTTAATGTGTAACATCAGTTTCTTCCGAAATGAAAGCTGGACTTTGTTTTTTCCCCCCGTCGCGAATTAATGTCTTGCAAACAAATCTGTTCATTATCCGACTATTCTTTTATAAATTCACCCTGTCGCTGTAATGGAATATCCCAAATAGCCTTATTTGGCGTCGAATGCCCGGATGTTGGCAGCCATTAATGTTGGGAGTCTTTACGATCGTTTGATAGAAACGAATTTAGCAAATAGTATATTTCCCGAAGCCAGCTAAAATGGTAAGTATCTGAGAAGAATTAACTCAAGTGTTTTTATTTCACGATGAATTTCTTTCAAGCTCAATTTTACGTACATGAAAATCAACAAATCGTTGGGAAAATATAACAAGGGCAACGACTCAACGCGTTTATTTTCGCCTGAACATCCTAGAAATTGTGCCGATCAGAGCGAGTTGTCCTTGACACGGTGTGTGAAGAGACTTGCACGGGTGTATAAAGCTCGGTGTACACACCATGTTTACCGTTATTTTGACACCTTTAGTCATTGACGATAAATTGAACCAAATACATTAAAAATCACGTCCCTCGTCGTTGTTACAGTGATATTTGAATACGATATTGGAAAGGACATCTGTTTTCAGTGACTACTTTGCTTGGCAATAATTGAACGTCATATCACTTGCCTTTATCGTAAATGTTATGTTATGTTTTGTTCATTGCGTTGTCAAAAATATAGCCCTCGAAACCGTTTTCGAATTTTCGCCATCTGTCTGGAGTCCGAAACACTCACGATGCGTGTGAACCCGAGCGTACGAAGTAGGTCCGAATGAAAGATACTCAATTGCAGATGGGGAGTTATTAAATGCTGCAGTGGTGCAACTCTAGATGGCAGACGCAGCACCATCAATACATCGACAGTTGTACATGAACAAACAACATGGCGGCCCAACTATTTAATAAGAATTTGCATCGCGTTTTTATTAATCTGCATATGTGATTTCATTTTTGTAGGGGAACGAGTCGTCACTTCCGATGGAAATGTGTTCGCATTGTAAGTAATAACATCTTTTGTAATAAATATTGGGTCTATTAATTTATAATTAAACTGCATTTTACTATGACATAACAAACCCATTTGCTTCATTTTTATTATAAATATTTATAAATTTGACAATGCAAACTGAGAGGTTTCTATTGGCCTATTGAATAGCATTGAAACATTTTCAAATGATGTAACAGTGCACTGTGGTCATTGGTTGGTTGGTTTGATTAACTGCCACTGAAATTTATAAAAATAAATAAAGAGTAGTGTTTGTTGTGTTGATGATAGCAAATACAGTGAGCTTACAGACAATAAGAATCTAAATAGAAATTGAACAATTGTTTGCTTGAGGGCAAGGTGATACAATTAGCTGGTATTGAATTTTTCATTGCAGATGTGAATAATTTGCAAATTTCCAAAATATTGTTTTTTAAAGATCAAACATTGAATTTGGTTTTAGTTTCAATGTTTTCAATGATGACTAGATTTTATGAATCATTGAAATACAAATTTATATGCAAATAGACCAAAAATGCATTTCATCATGCTTTAATGAAAATACTGCTCTTTGACCTGACTTCATATTTTTTGCTTTGAGATTGTAAAATGTACATGGAGAATGTACATATTTATGATTCAAGATACTATTCTAAGCAGTTTGTATGCCCCTTTTGTCAAAATCAAAAATTTTGTCATTTTGTTTTCAACTTATAGCTTTTGTTTGTGTTGGATCACCATAGTTACCCATATGTCGCTTCTGTCTTCTTCATTCGGATACTTCACATGTTATGCTTCTTAGTTCTTTCCAGTAATTTACAAATCTTTTATATATAAGTTGCCAGTCTGCTGTTAAGAATTGTTTGTAACCTGTTTTTTTCTTTTTTTTTCTCTCTAGTTGATGCAGATGAAATTAAAAGATTAGGAAAACGTTTTAAGAAATTGGATCTTGACAATTCAGGTTCACTGAGTGTAGAAGAATTCATGTCATTGCCAGAGTTACAACAAAATCCCTTAGTGCAAAGAGTTATAGATATCTTTGATACAGATGGAAATGGGGAAGTTGATTTTAAAGGTGAGGCTATAGTTCTTTTATATCTCTTTTATATTACTAATTCATGGTAAACTTTTCAGAATGAACTCTGACCGATTCTACTAACTGAATTAAAGGGGTATAAGCAGAATGTTTGTTGGATTTTTTAATCCATTTAATAATACCGTATTTGCTCTATTAGACGTGCATCCCCAATAGAAGCGCAAATAAACCAAAAATTATATTTGTGTACACTGAATCATTAAAATATTATTCATATTGATCTTAGTAAAACCTCTTTAATTTATATTAGCACACATGCTACTAATAGTCTAGAGCAAATACGGTATACAATTTTGGGATATACTTTAAGCTATGATAAATAAAAAGCACCTATAACAGTCAGTAGGTTAATTCATTTCTTGCTGTGGTGCATGTATAAGTTTATGTTCACTCTATCTTTGCTTTCTCAGTACCAAGAAGATCATTTTGGCCCACTAATATTAGAAAAGATATGCTCATGGCCTTTTATAAATAAATACATACAAGTCTTACAATGTATTATTGACAGCCTTTATTGTCATATTCCCGACCTACTGTTAAATACCAAAAGCAGCTCTGCTGTGTTTTGTAGCCCTCTGCCAGTGCTTTATACTGCATATGAATCTGGTGCTTGTCATTCTCTGTTCATACACTGATGGCCATTTTGTTTTCAAGAATGCCATTTCGGAGATGTTTATCTGACGTGCCTTTACCGATTACATTCAATATTTACATATACATTATACTCCTTGGAATACATGTGTACATACATTCACTTCAAGATTTGATTCAAGATGGCCGACTTAATTGTACCCTTTGCTGTAAAATGCACTGATTTCTGGTATTGCATGGATTTTGTTCAAATTTGGTTCATACATTTGCCAGAATCTTATTTACTACATCTTGACTAATTTAATTCACCTCTTGTACATTCATATCATTTGACATAATTGCATTTCTATATGATCTTGAAAACCTACTGTTCTCTTTTCTTTTACATGTACATGTATGTGCCACAGACCTGTACACAATTGTACTGCATTGCATCAGCCTTTTTATGTCTTCATTGCATTTGATATTATCTTCAGTTACTTGATGTAAATATCTCGACTATTTTAGTCTCTAAATTTGCTTTTATAGGGAAATATTTTATTAGCATATTCAGCTTGTAGTGAAAAGAAAGGCAAGTTAATGCATTTTTGACATGATTGATATATCCTTTGATAATGCCATCTCATAATGCTTTACATTTTTGCAGAGCATTAAAAGGAAAGCTGTGTATGTTTATTATACTGTGAAATTACATTCTGCATCAAAAAACGCAAATTACCCTCATTGTGCTATTATAAGTGTCAATTGTTGCTACATTGTACATGGTGAGAAATACAGATAAAGGAAAAGGGTATATCAGGGGGAAATGTCAGTTCTCAGCTTAGTGTAAACTTTTCTTTTATGATTGCATGTATAAATTACATATAATATTTTTTTCCGGGTTTGTATATGGTCCGATAACTATGTATTGTGATGAAAATAGTTCATGATTACCGCCAGAGTAGCCCGCAGTTCTGATTGATACACAATTTTGGTGGTAATCAATTGTGATGTCAACTTAAGAAAAAAATGTCGTAGCATTATATATAGTTATCAGTCAGTGTAAAACTTAGTGCGACTTTCATGTGTATTTTTTAAAATAGTCAATGATTTTTTTTATTTCACTCAGTTTATTCAAGAATAAGCCTTTATTAGTGCCTGTTACGATACAGTCTAAGAAAGACCTTACTAATTTTCTTTAAACCTTGCACTTACCTAATGACAAGTCCTATATTTATACATATGCAACCATTTCGTGATTGGGTCAAAGATGGCCAACCATTATTATTTGTAAAAATACACTAAAATCAGGTATTTTGGAATGCCTGGAACCAAATCTTGTGCATGTGTTGTTTGATTTTCTTCTTCAAACTCGGTGGAAGGTTTAACCATTACTGGAGGTAATGTATTTGATTTTTAAGGGCTACTCAAGAGGGCTGACTCATTTCGTCTATCAAGTCTCTAAGTACTACAACATCATGTGCTTTCGCATTTGTGCAGCTCTTGAACCTGTAAAATAGCAATGTAAAAAATGGTTGAACTATGCACAGAACTAAAGCTAAATTATCCTTGTATTATTTTGAGATTGAACACAAATAAAGTATTTGGTCGATCATTTTATTACCGGTAATCACAGTGATTATGAATAGGAACTTTTATACAAATAATTTGTGCTATGCAGTTGACATTTGTTTTCTTGCTGTAAACATATCATTGATTTTCACATGCATACTGTGTGTATCTCTGTAGTGAAAAATACCTTGAGATACAGGGGTTCTCTCTGCTGTTTTATTCAGTGCACATACCAAAACTATTCTCTTTACTCAATTTATAACAAACAGAATTCTATATGCTTTATGACCTTCAACATTCAGTACACAACTGCGGCTGGGCATCATTCCCAAAACATAATGGTTAAAAAATGGCACAAACAGAAAAATCAGTTTAGCTTATGGACTGATTTTTCAGAAATTGAAACATGAAAATAGATTTGTAGTTGTCTCTGAAACTGTTGGTTGCCACCTACAAAATGTAATGTGCAGAAATGAGTAGGCATTCATTTTTGTAATATGAAATACTGTATACTCAGTCAATACTCTTAGCTGATCTTTGATATGTACACAAGTCTTCACTAATTGGTTTTAGAATGGTACCTGAAAAGAGTTAGATGAAAAAAATGGGAATAAATACAAAAAGACACATGGGGCTTTTAATTAATTTGACAATCACAGGTAATTGGTTGATTTGGTCACCTGATTCTTAAAATCATTTTACTGAATTAAACTTGGCCAACTGGTGGCCATTTTGATTATAAAGATCTCAGGTATGTGTAATCTGATTTCCAAGCTCATTAAAGATCAGAAATGGTACAATGGTACACTTTGTACAATGACAGGTCATGGTACATTTAATTGACATATGCATATCAACATTTTCCTTTTTATTCACTCTTTTCTTTCTGAATTATACCATTTTAGTCATTAAAGATGTTGAAAAGGCACACTTTTAGTGTTTTAAACCTTTTTTCTGCCATACGTTGCCAAATATTCTTCAGATTTGGTATAATGGTTGAACATGCAGGGTTAGTGATTATGATGGACTGGTGGCCATTTAGTTTCATGCATATCTTATTGCATTATTGACACTTGTATTAGTCTACATTTACAATAGTGACAAAATACTCAATGGAGAATTCTCGGTTAATTAAAAACAATAACGACTAAACTGTAGGTGGTTTCACATCAGAAAATTAGGCAGACTCTTACTTTAGGCTTGTCTAAATTTTATGTGTGAACACGACCTAAATATTTTGGCCAGCCTAAATAAGTCGTGCCTGAGAAGGGGTGCCAGGGCTAGCTCAAATTGAGTGATTTATTGTGCATGACAGCGTACTAGTACATTTGTTGTGTTGTTTTACTGACTCAAATATATCAGTTGCGACGGTAAGAAAGTTGATGTTTTTCTTGCTTCTTGCTCTCTCACTTCCATTGGTCATTCTTTATGCTGTGAAAATAATAGCTAGGACAAGTCTCATTTGAATAATAGACAATAAAAAGAAGAGCCGAAATCAAGCTTGGTGGTAATGATTTTGAGTGTTGTGGCACTGCCATGTTGTTTGTATGCTGGTGAGAACACTGTATTATAGTAAAATGATTGTTTGTACTGTCTGCTTCTATCTGTTATTAAAGTTAACCCTGATAATGACAAGCATCAGATTCATACTTGACAGTATATATTTTTATGCCTTGTCCATAATGTATGGTTTACTTAATATTTATAATGGAACAGTCTGCCATGCATATAATTAATGAGATATGGTCATACAATATGTTTCTCATATTATTAACTGTGGTAACATGCAAGTACATGTTGCATCCATAATCGACAAGATATTTAAAACTGATACATGTATATATATGTTGTGTCAGGTTTTTAGTCCCTGTGGAACATTGTCCAAAACAGGGATTTGCAATTTAGGTTCAGTCCATACGTATGTATGTGCATGTGTGTGTCCAATGTTATTTCCCAGACATGCTATGTGCGATTTAGTTAAAAGTGCCACAATGACAAGTCATATTGGTAAACGTATGCATGTTGATTGTTTTTTGATTCGATGACGTTTTACCTACTGGCGACCATGTTTGTCCCAAAAAATATTTGAACCTATTCTCTTTCAAACTTGGTATGACATCACTCGGGGTGGTTTACTGATGCACGTCATTTTGTTTTGTGGTTAGACTAGTTAGCTCCACTGTCGACTTTGTCGAGCGGAGCTTATCATACGAGTGATTGTCCGTCGTCCGTGTCAATGTTTTACTTTTTCGACATCTTCTTGAAAACTACAAGCCTGAATGCTTTGATACTTGGTGTACCTTGGGTAGACCTCTCTCAGATTTGTTCATTTCATGATCATATCTTCAATTCTCTAATTTTGGTGAATATTTTTGTTATTTTTGGTAAAAAGTGATATTTTCGACTTCTTGTTAAAAACCACAAGTCCAATTGCTTTGATATTACATATATAGGTACTACATGTGAATCTCTCTCAGATTTGTTCATTTTGTAATGATATCTTCAATTCTCTAATTTTGGTGAATATTTTTGTCATTTTTGGTAAAAAGTGATATTTTCAACTTCTTGTTAAAAACGACAAGTCCAATTGCTTTGATATTACATATATAGATACTACATATGGACCACTCTCAAATTTGTTCATTTCATGATGATATCTTCAATTTTCTAATTTTGGTGAATATTTTTGTCATTTTTGGTAAAA